AATTTAGCAAGCTAGTTTACTTGATTCGCCAAGTCTAGTCAATTCAAAATGTTAATTGTGTTACTGGCTAACTATTCATAACAATTAGAACCACTCAATCGAGATTCGTGACTCGATGTTTCCTACTAAGACTTAAAATTTCAATTTATGAATTATAATAATTATAAATTATAACTTATATTATTTCAAAATTTTATTAATAGACAATAGCGTAATAACAAAACAATGTTCAGATGATAACAAAATTGGGGGAGGTGCTTTTGGTATTGTGTATAAAATTAAAGGCCAATATGATGGTGACTTTTATGCTATAAAACGTATTTCTATTAAAGGTAACTAGTGTTTAAAAATGTATTTTTTAGTAAAAAATATCAGTGAACTAATTTAAAACTTATATTGTAACAGAAATCGAAAATGCACATCAAGATGAATCTATTAGGGAAATAGAAAGCTTGCTAAAGGTTCGCTCGGAATTTGTAGTATATTACTATTGTTCGTGGTCTGCAGACAATTATCTATACATTCAAATGGAGTACTGTTCCCAAAGTCTGGTGAATATTCTGAACACTAAACCGGAAGCGTTTGGTCGACAACCGGGAGAACCTATGAATTCAATCGAGTTTTACATTTCGTGTCATATATTTCGTGAGATCTGTGAATGCGTTCAATATTTGCATGAAATGAATCCACTGATCATTCACCGGGATCTTAAACCCAGCAATATATTGATTGCCCATACAGTAAGGAACGGTAGATTTATTAAGTTATGTGACTTTGGTTTGGCTACAATTCATTTACAATCGATGAGTCACTCGGAAAATGTCGGAACTTTCCGATATATTGCACCGGAAACGTATGACACAAGATATACTGAGAAAGTTGATATTTATAGCCTGGGTATTATTGCCCAAGATGTGTTCGACGTGCATTTATAGTAAGATGCTCACTTCATAAAAATTCAACCTATATTAATTTTAATTATCTTTGCTAAAATTAGCTTTATTACCTTTGCTAGTTAGATGTTAAAATTCTTTATTAAAATTCATAAATATTAAAAATATTAATTTTAAATTAACGTTTAAATTTTACAAAAACAGTGATGATCCACTTGCATTACACACTGGCAACATACTTAATAATCTAAAGAAGTTGGTCGAAACGTTACAATCAATGATTGAAACACAATACAGAAATAGACCAAGCTGCCCTAAATTGCTGCAATTATTGAATGACATTAATGTAAACGCAAATGTTGCCACAAATGATGATAATATGAAATTATTATTGGCCAATCTTAAATCTTATAAAAATAAATTCTTTCACGAATATTTGAGCTATAAAACTTCTAGATAAATCTTAAAAACACAATTTGGAAAATTTACAACTAATTTTTATATTTATATTTTGGCATCGACTTTATTACCAACAGTACCACAAAAATAAGTGAGAGAGCTCCATTTCTATAAAATTATTATAGAATATTATTTTTTAAAAACGCAATTAAATATGTTATAGCTAAATCAAATAAAATTTTATTAATTATAATTGTAATTACATATATAGTTCTCTCTCTCTCCCTATTTGGCGTTCCTGAATGGGAGAGAGAGCTATATTTATGTGTACTTGTAATTATAATTAGAAAATTTTTATTTAATATACCTAGAACACATTTAAATACCTTTTTAAAAAAATTATTAACAATTAATATTTTATAATTACATATAAAATAAACTCTCTCATTTGTTTTGTTGGTACTGTTTGTATTGTTTTATATTTTATCAAATGTATCATGTTAAAATGTAATAACATTATTAACAAAAAATAATTAGAATGAAATTAATATAATTAGCCAGATTAAATATCTTACATCTACTATTTTATAAAGGTTTAGATTTTATGATATTAAAGTAAATTAACATTTAAATAGCTCACTAATAGATAAATTTAAATTCATTGTATAAATATATTAATTCATTTAAACTTATAGCATAAAAATTATAAATTGAATTTTTATGGATTTCATAATTTGTTTAACAAACTGGTGGAGGAGATTCGCCAATATTAAATTATAAACTTGTCAAGAATGATTAATTAAATACAAATAGTTATTTTTACAGTTTGAGATATAAACTTAGAGATGATAATATTATTATACAAATAATAATTGTTTCTTTTCTCTTACAAGTTATTATATTTAATGCATTTGGTTAACCAATTTTTTACAACACCAAGAAAATAATATTGAACTTGGTATTAATTTTTGATATTTATTGATTAGGCAATATTTTATGAAATTAACTACTCTATCATATATGACGCATATATACATTTAAAATAATTTTCATCACACAATTAAACCATAAATATTTACCATATTAATTTTACTTGTTAAAAATTAATTTTCATATTAGAAAATAACTCAATTTAATACTATTAAGACTTTACTAAAGTTAACAAGCTTATAATTTAAAAATTAGAACTAAAGTTAGAAATAACTATTGTACTTAAATAATATATCAGTATTAAATGACTTAAATTTCAAAATATTAAAATAAAATTTTATAAATAATATAATATAGTATATTAATGCTATTATTACGTATTATGTATATAATTACTATAATTATACAAAATATTCAGTATATTTAAATTAAATATAATTATATATTTTGCTTACACAATTATATAAAACATATGATATAATATTGTAAAATATATTGATAATATGTTAGTAAAACATATGGTTTGCTATTATTAATAAATTATTATTTTTCAAAATGTACGAAATTTTGATGATGGTAATTTTTCTCATGTATTTGGTGATCAAGTACCAAAAATATAAATCGCATAACTGCTATAAGGTTTGTCAGTTATAATTATTAATAATTTGTAATTCAACAATGTAACTTTATTTAATATTAAGCAATACTATGCTCGTTCAAAATCAACTGTCCCGACTCAACCATTTCCCGGTTATCCCAACACGTGGTACGTAATAATGGCGACCAAAGAGTTGTCCGTAAATACGGTGAAAGCGTTTGAGTTATGCGGCCAACAGTTGGTGGCGTTTAGGGGACCGTCCGGTAGAGTACGGGTGTTATCCGCCTATTGTCCCAAATGTGGCACAAATCTCGGTGTCGGCGGACGTGTAGCCCACGAGTCGGCCGATGACTGCGTTCAGTGTCCGTTACATGGGTTCAGATACACGAGACTGGAGGGAAAGGACTCAAAATGTAAATAAAATTGTAAATGTTTATAAATTAATAATAATATAATATAATAATATTTTATAATAATTATAATAATTTATTATTTTTAAACCTATGCTCACAGGTAAACAAATATTACACTCAACTACCGGTGCGCACAAGACATGGCAGACACTAGAGGTAAATGAACTAATTCACGTGTGGTATCACAAAAATGGCAATGAGCCGGATCACTACCCCGTTGATATAGCAAACATATTTTAAACGGATCATTAAAATTACCCGTCATTAAAATATGGGGACAGGTATGCTTTCAAAAATTTATTTATTTATCTAGTATAGTATTGTAAATTTAATTTATAGACACTCCTCGAAAATACCATTGATGGTGAGCATGCTAATTATCTACATAAATTCTTAGTACCGGGTATTATCACAATGGACTGGAAGTGCCATGATAATGTTACCATAGGTGAACCAGTTGTATACACAACTCACCTATGTCTATTTGGATATAGACTAATCAGTACTAAACTGAGCTTTGTGATTAAGACACCTACGCTTGCGGAAATGGTATTTGACCTCGCTTACATTGGACCTATTATATTTTACCCAAAATTTCGGTATATATTACCTTATGTAACCCAGGGAGAAACATATAGTTTTTCTAAACCCGGATTATTATGTAAATTTGTATCATTGCTGTTACTTTTAATGGCAGTTGACCAGGTACGATTACATTTCTATTATTATTTTATTTTAAAATAAAAATGTACTATATAGGTTAAGGGAGATATAGCTGTTTGGCAAAATATGATCCTGCTCAAATATCCGATTATGACACGCAATGATACTTTAATCGTACGCTACAGAAGGTCGTTTCAAAAATATTATAATACAAAATAATGGATAAACTTACTGGATACAATAAAATTTACAATTTTTAATATGAAATATTTGTAATGGATTTAAATTAATTTCTGTAATAAATATTATTTTTAATATAGAAACATTTCTAATAATTTGATGCCAACATTTGCAAATCAAAACATTTTGTAAAACTTTGCAAAACATTTCTAAACTATTTTATGTAATCTTATACTAGTATTCAGTTAATAGCTTTCATATCCTATGCAATAACTTTTGGACCCATTTTCGCACCCTTTTCTCAATTGTTTATGTGATAATAAG